CCTTTAGCGTTCAATCGTAGGTGCAACTAAATAAAGGAACACAAAACTCCAATCACGTCGTTCCTCGAGTATATTCACTATTATTCGTCGATGGAATTAGTTTCAACAGTCTATAATTCTGGAATGTTCGATTGCTAATGAACGAATATTTATCGTAATTGTACTCCTAACTGAGATTAACGGTTTCTTATATATATATATATATCGTAATTTACCAGAGAACGAATCATTAATAATGTATTTCAGAGTACAAAAACTACTCGTTATTATTAGAAAGAAATATTAATTGAACATTACAGAACATGATCGACCGAACATTTAGGGATATGAAAAACATGATGCAAACACGATTAATTCTATTGGAAAGTCGCGCTTCCTATATATCTTATGAGGTGTCAGTTTCGCCTAATTATTCTATTTTTGTGTAATATTTGTGACAGTCCTAACAGCATGGTTTGTTATAACAATATAAGAAACTTACACTTCCACCACTATGTACCAACACGATCCACACGAGTCTTTCACATGCCTTCACTATTATCATCATGGAAATGGTTTCTGCTTGTCATCTTTAGCAAATATTAGTATTGATAATTCCAACTTATTCTATTGAACAGATAATAATAAAATAATTTAAACATTACAAAAGTAACAGTTTATGAAAGTTACTAATGGGTAATTGAATAAAACATTTGGCAAATTATAAAATTTGCAATGGCTGTCAATAGAATACTGTGCATACATGGTCCGAGTAAGACAAAATCTAAATTGATTTGTGTAGGCGAAAAGTAAATGCATATGTTGCTTCATAACAATCTGCTATTGATGTAACGGTTTCGGTGTGAACGCATTTTGATAGTTTAAGTTATCTCAAATGTGAGATACAAATCAACGGAGTTAAAAATTCTTTTGTTGCCATTTACTATTACAGCTTGCGTAATATTACACCTGCGAATTGTTATTATCGCCAATACCCTTGCTATTTACATACTGATGAGAGGAGATTATCGTTAGCAAGAACGCATAACTATGTTATCAATTATCAAGAGACAGCTTTTTAGAGCCCTGAAGGTCAGCTGATTAATCACTCTCCGTCTTCAGCAGGCACGATGAAAAACTGGACTTCGATATCGACCGAATATAAGGCATGCAGTATCGAAGTGTTAAGCTTCATGTGATATAACCGAATGATGACGCATGTGTGCCAAATTGTTATCCGTTACTTTACTCTGCATGCTGTACTGAAATATTAATATTATTCTCACGACGATAATTACCAAAGTTATTATAGATACAGTATCTATTTTATAGTCATGGATTTGAAGACTCCTCGTTATTACGAGCTGTCCTGGGATTTGAGAACGTTTCAAGATTATCACATTTTTTCCGACTTATCACATAAATCATGTAGTTTATTGGTGCAAGAGATTATTCTAGTGTGATAATTCCGAAACGGGTCAAATTCTAGAATGTCACAGTCATAACATCATCAATATCAACGTGTAAGAAAGTAGTAAATTCGTATGTTAGGAAAAATAAATTTGAGGATAAAGTTTTCTTTTGAGAGATCAAGAATGAGGCGGAGCTATCTATCCTTTATATGTCACGAAAAACTGTGCATGTCAGGTGCATAGGTTATGATTTTCAAGCCTATTTAGCTCAAACCTTCCTTTCCTGTGACACCTTAGTCAACGTTTCAATTAGTTATAATGTATAAATTAATGTTAATAAGAAACATAAAAACCGCACGTTGTTGCATTGTTCATTCAAATAAGTAGCGTTATTAATACATATATTGCCATATAGTAATAGTGATAGCTTGTGATCGTCAAAACCGTTCGTAAACTGGTCGGCCATAATCGGTTACTACCAACAGGTGGTAACTTTATTTCGACTGAACTCTGCGTAAAGTCATTCTTTATTCTCAATCGCACAAAAAATTAAACTCTGTGTTCATGTGACTCCGATTATCGGTGAAACAAGAACATTCCATAAATAGTACATATGCCATGCCAAAATGAGAAATATAATTAACAAGATTTTCTCCCCTGCTTAACAAAGAAGCGGGCCCTACTAACTATGAATGAATTTAATCAGCGCAGTGCTATCTTTAAACGTAAACTGACATTTAAGGTTTGTGTTTAAAAGCACGGTAATATCAATTTTTTATTTTATTGTCGTATAAATAATGAAGAATGGGGAGATGATTCCTATTGTATTTTAACCTTATCTCTTTTATCAACAGGATGTTGATGTTCACTGCATATTCCATGCATTTGTAGAAATTGCAGATCTAGATGTCACGCGAATACGGTCATGCATGACTTTTGATAAAATCTAATTTCTAATAGTAAATATAGTCATAGTTATGTTAAAAGTTCTATTTCGAAATACATATGTCCTCATCTTAGACTGAACGAACTGTTTAATCAGGGGAATATCGGGGATATACGGTTGTTACGAGAATATAAATAGAGCAATTAAAAGCAATGAGGACACCCGAGTAGCATTCGAAATAGTGGTACAATGAACCCATCTCTAATATCACCTCACGGGACCGGCGGGTGTTAGAGTTAGGGTTTTAAATAAACGACATCATATCTGATAATGATATAAAATACTAATTTATATTGATTTTGATATCAGCGAGGACATGTGATTAGGAATGAATATGTTGATAGGGATATCAACGGGGTATGATGTCAAAATTTATATATGCGGGGGAATTTATATATGGGGAATTTAAAATCCGTTCTTAGTCACTGTTGCTAATAGAAAGAGGTTGGGGTGGATATTAGAGAGGGTTCACTGTATTGGCATTCCTATTATATTCATCATTCAAGTAATACAAGAGTTAGTATTAATCCCTAATTTATCGAATAGAAACTATCCAACATGTCGTCATAATTAAACTCGTATTTGCAATTAGATTCATTCTCTTCGTCACAAAAACACTCAATTGTGCCTTCGTTCAGTCAATTCCTCGGCCGATTACGTCAATAGTAACTTATTTGTATAGTTTGCTCAATTGTATTCAGCGTTCATTCTGCATGCCCAGAGCATTGATGAGCAAGGGTGATGTCGGAATGGTAGATTATGGCATTCACAGAAGAAGATCGTGATGAACAGCGCATATTAATGTTGCAACTATGTGATGTACGCAAGTTAATCCAACTTACCATCACGTTAAAATTAATATGGTTTAGGGTCTGGCTATTGATGTATATACATATGTCTTCATTGTTCCCTGCCATATGACCCTTACCCATTTTTGTCATTCTACGTGTGGGGGAAGACAAGTAATTATATAATGGTCACAAACAGCATTCGTTTTAATAAGAAAACTATTATTTACATGTTAATCAAGCGTGCTATCACAGATTACTTAATTTGCCATAATAAACTATTACATTGACACCATTTATGACATTGCCACCTGGGAACAATTGACTATGGTGATCTCATTCATGCATACAGATTATGATTGATATGTTCATAGATAGATGGATGGATGGATGGGAATAGATAGATAATAGATAGATAGATAAATAGACATATATCCAATCTTTGGTGGATTGAATTATCGAATTATTGTTCCGCTGAGAGATTGAACAAGGAAATGTCCGCTGGTATTCCGTGAACTATGTGATTGTGTTTCTTATTATCTACACATCAGCATTGTAGTGACTTGTTCGTGTATTTAGCGCTGATGGGTCAATTGGTCCGCATAGATCCCTATTAGTCTTTAATTGTATTAAGAATGCTACATTTGGGAGAATACTAATTCAGCCTCCCTTTAATAGTCTCGCCAAGATCTAATCTTTTTTGATATGGAGAAGACGCATGCGAGAGATTTGAGATCATTTGACATGATTGGCAGGCGGGACTGTTGTTATCGATATGTATTATAATTTATCAACGTCGACATGTCTATTTGGATTACTTAATAGGTTAGTTCGTTCAATGGTTGGTGAATTAATGTCGGCTGAATTCCTGATGTACCGATAAGCGCACCGTCCCGAGTGACCATCAATGGTGTTTACTGTTTCTCATGCGAGATCGGGTGTTGCAATAGATTTTTGATGCCTAATAATCGACCAATCATCGAGTGTATATTGTCCTACGCACTCGCAGCATCGTTGGGTCTCATGATCAGATTGGATCTCATGATCAGAATATCCTATCACCTGACAACAACGTTCACCATTTGCATAGCCTTTATCTTATTTTCAACAAGGAAAAAAACGGGAGTAGCGTAATATGCAGTGAGTGTAGTATGACTGGCTGATATAACAACAATTCGTGTCACGCTTGCATCACAAAACACCCTGCAATAAATTTTAGATTATCTGCAAATTTTCTGTTTAAAACTGCCTTAGGAGATAAGCCTATGCAAAAAGATTGGATGAGTTTCACATGTTATCATATCATATCAAGAGGACACATAAAAAAAAAGCGAGCTTACCGACTACTTGGTTGTATAATAATTAAAATCAAAACTAAATTCGAATGGCAAAAACACGATTAAAATAAGTATTAATAATATTACTGAATAATTTATTTGTTATCTGATCGATATCAGTCTTTATTAATCGATCAACCCATCTTTGACATAAATTCCTCAGCCAAGCCCGGGCTGTTATAAAGTTTCCATCATTTTATTACACAACTTCGTTAACGATTCAAAAAAAAATAAATCCCTCTGATTATCATCGGAAAAAACACGGCCTAGTATATATTGACACATCACCAATTTATTCGACTCACTCCCTGTCCCTCTCCTGACTTCTCTCTCTTTTTGCTGTGCGTCTTTTCTGTCCATTGGAATACACATCTCTAATAGTCGTATAGCATACATACCACTAAAGCAATATATATTCGCAGAACAACTATCCCACAAAATTGCAGCTGGGTATCGATACAGCAACTTATTAATATAATAACCTTCGCAAATTTATAATTATCAATCAGAATTCCCATACTTCTGATTTTTAAATAGTATGGTCTCTATTGCAAACGAAGTCACTCAAACAGAAAATAATATCTACGAACAACATCAAGATGAATCGAATAATTCTTGGGCAGGTGCCATTCCAAAGAAGCAAGGTTTATATGACCCAGAATACGAAAAAGATGCATGTGGAGTCGGCTTCATCGTTCACATCAAGGGTGCTCCCTCTCATAAAATTCTCAGCGATGCACGAGGCATCCTTTGCAACATGACTCACAGAGGTGCTGTCGGTGCTGATGCAAGAGACGGTGATGGGGCTGGTGTAATGACTAGCATCCCGCACACACTTTTTTCAATCGAATGTCCTAGGCTCGGCATTCAATTGCCTTCTCATGGTCAATACGCCGTCGGTAATATCTTCTTCAAACCAGAAGCTTCTGTTATGGAAGAGAGCAAGCAAACCTTCGAACGGACCGCCAATCAATTGGGTTTGAAGGTTCTCGGATGGCGTGAAGTACCTATAGACAACTCCATACTCGGCCCAGCAGCGAAATCCCTCGAACCTGTTATTCTTCAGCCATTCGTTACACTCAAGGATTACGCTTCAGAGTCGATTGATTTTGATGAAAAATACTTTGAGAGACAGCTGTACGTACTTCGCAAGCAATCTACCCATAAAATCACTGTCAATAAGTGGTTCTATATCTGTTCGTTATCGAGCAAAAACATCGTATACAAGGGCCAGCTTGCACCCGTGCAAGTTTATAATTATTTCCACGACCTGAACAATGTACACTATAAAACACACTTTGCATTGGTTCACTCGCGATTCTCGACCAACACCTTCCCGTCGTGGGACCGTGCCCAGCCAATGAGATGGTGCGCGCATAATGGAGAGATTAATACTCTACGTGGAAACAAGAACTGGATGAGAGCGCGTGAAGGAATTATGAAATCAGATTTGTTTGGGTCAGAATTGGACTTACTTTATCCAATTATAGAAGAAGGCGGTTCAGATTCGGCCGCGTTCGATAATGTACTTGAACTGCTTGTTATAAACGGTGTATTATCGCTTCCTGAAGCTGTAATGATGATGATTCCGGAGGCATGGCAAAATCACGAGCACATGGAGCCTGAAAAAAAGGCATTCTATCAATGGGCTGCCTGTCTTATGGAACCATGGGATGGACCCGCTTTGTTCACGTTCTCCGATGGTCGATACTGCGGTGCTAGCTTGGATAGGAACGGTCTTCGTCCGTGTCGTTTCTATATTACTGATGACGATCGGATGATCTGTGCTTCGGAGGTCGGAACGTTGTTTATCGAGCCAGATCATATAGTCCAGAAAGGTCGATTACAACCAGGAAAGATGTTATTGGTTGATACTGCAGAAGGGCGCGTAGTTGACGACCGTGAGCTGAAACTGTCTGTTGCTGCCAAGCGAAATTTCGGCGGATGGGTTGAGAAACAAATGATCAGATTACAGGATGTGATTCACAGAATAAAGATCACTGGTAATGGAATAGAAGTCAAGCTAGATTCGTTCACTATTGCTGAGGATCCCAGATTATCTGCATTTGGTTACACTATCGAGCAGTTGAATCTGTTAATGTTACCTATGGTAAGTTACATGCAATGTGGTAGATGTAGATTAAACACGGTTATTTTATTTGACTATATATTGACGCAATATCTACACATAATACTCAAATAGGTGAGCAGTGGCAAAGAAGCTCTTGGTTCCATGGGTAACGACGCTCCACTCGCATGTTTAGCTAGCCAACCTCGTCTAATCTACGACTATTTCCGTCAACTTTTCGCCCAAGTCACGAACCCTCCTATCGATCCTATTCGCGAAGAGATTGTCATGTCTCTCGAGTGTTATGTTGGCCCCGAAGGCAATCTTCTCGAAATAGACGAATTACAAACATGCCGACTGGCCCTACCCTCTCCAGTGCTTACAATTGAAGAACTCAATGCTATAAAACGCATGGACCGTGTATTTCCTGGTTGGGGGGTTGTCACTATAGATATCACTTTTCCCAGAGAAGAAGGTCCGGCCGGATACTTACTTGCCCTTGAGCGCGTCTGTGCTGAAGTATCACATGCCATTCAAGATGGCTTCAAGGTTGTTGTGCTTTCTGATGCAGCAACAGACGTCAACCGTGTTCCAATCTCTTCGCTCATTGCCGTTGGTGGAGTGCACCATCATCTAGTACGTACTAAGCAACGAACAAAAATTGCGCTAGTAGTTGAAACCGGTGAAGCTCGTGAAGTACATCATATTTGCGTCTTGTTAGGTTATGGTGCGGATGCTATTTGTCCATATTTGGTTTTGGAGGCCGTTATGAAGCTCGAGCGAGAAAATGCTATTAAGGGTGACTTGCCTGTTGAAAAAATCATCTCAAATTATAAGAAGGCCGTCAATAACGGTATACGTAAAGTCATGTCCAAGATGGGCATATCAACATTACAGAGTTACAAAGGTGCTCAGATTTTTGAGGCGTTGGGTATCGATGAAAGCGTCATTGCTCGATGTTTCGCGGGTACTGCTAGTAGAATAAAGGGTAAGCTTTTTTATACTCTACGTTGGCTTGTATAATTTTCGTTTACACCAATTGGATGTTTACAAACGTTCGTTTACGTTTTAGGTGTGACATTCGATGTTCTAGCACTTGACGCCATAGCAGTCCATGAGCAAGGTTATCCATCTCGCGACACTGTAATTCCTCCAGGTCTTCCTGAATCTGGAGAATATCATTGGCGTGATGGTGGCGAGCATCACATTAACGACCCAGAAGCCATCGCCAACATCCAAGATGCTGTGCGTATGAAGAATCAAACTGCATACGACAATTATTCCCGCAACCAGCACGAACAGATCAAGAATTGTACACTTCGTGGTCTATTGGATTTCGATTACGAAAATTCAAAACCCATACCTCTCGAACAGGTCGAACAATGGACCGAACTAGTCAAGAGATTTTGTACCGGGGCTATGTCGTATGGGTCTCTCTCTATGGAAGCACACTCAACGCTAGCAATTGCGATGAATCGGATTGGTGGCAAATCGAATACAGGAGAAGGTGGAGAAGACCCGGAACGTTCGATACCAAGACCCAACGGCGACTCGCTACGATCATCTATCAAACAAGTAGCGTCTGGTCGGTTTGGTGTAACTTCATACTATCTCTCAGATTCGGATGAATTACAGATTAAAATGGCACAAGGTGCTAAACCCGGTGAAGGTGGCGAACTTGTCGGCGGCAAAATTAGCAAAGAAATTGCATCCACCCGCAAGACTGTTCCAGGAGTTGGGTTGATATCTCCACCTCCACATCACGACATTTACTCCATCGAAGACTTGAAACAGCTTATTTACGATCTGAAATGTTCCAATCCACGTGCTCGTGTTTCTGTAAAATTAGTATCGGAAGTGGGCGTTGGTATCGTTGCTTCAGGTGTTGCGAAAGCCAAAGCTGACCATATTTTGATTTCTGGTCACGATGGTGGCACGGGTGCTTCTCGTTGGACTAGTATTAAGTACGCTGGCCTTCCATGGGAACTTGGTTTAGCTGAAACGCATCAGACTTTGGTATTAAACGATCTTCGTGGACGTGTAGTAGTCCAAACGGATGGTCAGATTAGAACAGGTCGTGATGTCGCCATAGCTTGTTTGTTAGGTGCTGAAGAATGGGGCTTTGCTACTGCACCGTTAATTGCTATGGGTTGTATTATGATGAGAAAGGTATGTAATACTAAACATTCGCTAGAGAATTTGAGAAAATGTACTAAATCTTTTTTTAAACGGTAATAGTGTCACTTGAACACATGCCCAGTTGGCATCGCCACCCAAGATCCTGAACTCCGTAAGAAATTTGAAGGGCAACCCGAACATGTCATTAACTTCTTTTATTATATTGCCGAGGAATGCCGACAGATAATGGCCAAACTAGGATTCCGGACTATAGACGAAATGGTTGGTCGCACTGACAAACTAAAAGTCAACGAATCATTCCGTACCCCCAAGACACATAATATAGACCTTTCGCCTATCCTAACTCCCGCGTTTACTTTACGACCTGACGTCGCCACACATAACGTTCGCAAACAAGATCATAGACTCTATATTCGCCTTGACAACAAACTTATCGATGAAGCAGAAGCAGCAATAACAAAGAAAGAACCCGTCGTTATTGATTGCTCAATTATCAATACTGATCGTGCATTCGGTACAACACTTTCTAATCATGTGTCCAGACAGTTTGGCGAGAAGGGCTTACCTGATGATACAATACATATAAACGTTAAAGGCTCTGCTGGCCAGTCTTTTGGTGCCTTCCTTGCTCCGGGTATAACACTCGAATTAGAGGGAGATGCAAATGACTATGTCGGAAAAGGACTTTCTGGTGGTCGCATTATAGTATATCCACCGAAAGTGTCTATCTTCAAGTCAGAAAACAACATCATTGTAGGAAACGTGTGCTTATATGGTGCAACTGCCGGTCAAGCGTTCTTCCGTGGTATTGCATCCGAACGTTTCTGCGTCCGTAATTCCGGTGCTACTGCCGTTGTAGAGGGTGTTGGTGATCATGGATGTGAATATATGACTGGCGGTCGTGTTGTTGTCTTGGGATCCACAGGCCGTAATTTTGCTGCTGGTATGAGTGGTGGATTCGCATATGTGCTGGATACAGCGGGTGATTTCAAATCCAAGTGCAACACCGAAATGGTCGAGTTGGGCACCGTTAATGACTCTGAAGAAACCGCTTTCCTTCGGCGATTGATCGAAGACCATCGCCATTATACCGGATCAGAAGTAGCGGATCGAGTACTTAAGAACTTTAATCAATATCTTCTACGATTCGTTAAAGTCATACCTATCGAATATAAACTTGCACTAGAGAAACAAAGACGCTTAGATGAAGAAGAAAAGAAAAAGGTGGAAAAAATAATAACACCAGAGGCCCAAGTATCCGCCAAGAACGAACCAAGCATAGCTGATATTGAAGATACTCAAGTAGACGAGGCGATGGCAAAGAAAAGATTGGAGACAATAGACAAAGTGCGTGGTTTTATGAAATACAAGAGAAAGGTCGACAATTATCGTAATCCTCGCAAGAGAGCTAAGGACTGGAAGGAAATCAACGCTCGGCTTAATGAAGCGGATCTCAAAGTTCAAGCAGCAAGATGTATGGATTGTGGCGTACCGTTCTGTCAGTCCGACACGGGATGTCCAATCGGTAATATTATTCCAAAGTGGAACGACCTTGTATTCAGAGATCAATGGGAAGATGCACTCAATCGATTGATGATGACTAATAATTTCCCTGAATTTACTGGACGTGTATGTCCTGCTCCATGCGAGGGTGCCTGTGTTCTCGGTATCAACGAAGCACCAGTCAGTATCAAGTCTATCGAGTGTGCTATTGTTGACAGGGGATTCGAGATGGGTTGGATCATACCCACACCCCCTTCTATGCGTACTGGTAGGAAAGTTGCTATTATTGGATCTGGTCCTGCTGGACTCGCTGCGGCTGATCAGTTGAATAAGGCTGGACACGAAGTCACCGTTTATGACCGTAATGATCGGTTTGGTGGGTTACTTATGTACGGTATTCCGAACATGAAACTCGATAAAAAAATAGTTCAACGACGTATTGACCTTCTTGCCGCCGAAGGAATCAAGTTTGTTGCTAATGCTCATGTTGGGGTCAACGTCGATGCTAATAAGATCCGTCGCGAGAATGATGCACTCATTGTTGCAACTGGTGCGACGTGGCCACGTGACTTACCTATACCCAACCGCAATCTCGATGGTATTCACTTTGCTATGGAATTCTTGCAGTTGAATCAGCAATCTCTGCTTGACTCGAATCTGGAAAATGGGAAATACATTGAGGCCAGAGGCAAGAATGTGATTGTCATCGGTGGTGGTGATACCGGCAATGACTGTATTGGTACAAGTGTCCGTTTGGGTAAGTGCTGGTTCTTAACATTTTAGTATTTCTATGATTATTTCATCAATATTGTACGTACTTGAAAATTAACGAATCTCGCTTGTTGTTTTTATTCTATTGGTTAGGTGCTAAATCGATTCTGAACTTTGAGCTACTTCCACAACCCCCTGCAAATCGCGCTCCCGACAATCCGTGGCCGACGTTCCCGCGCACGTTCAAAGTCGATTACGGACATGCAGAAGTACAAATGCAATATGGCCGTGATCCTCGTGAATACGCTATTCTTACCAAAGAATTTATATCTGATGGCAAGGGACATGTATCCGGTGTTAATACCATACGCGTTGAATGGACAAAAGAACCCTCGGGACGATGGCGAATGAAAGAACTTCCCGGTACGGAGAAGTTTTTCGAGGCTGACCTCGTCTTGTTGGCTCTTGGATTCTTAGGGCCAGAGGAGAAATTGATTAACAGTCTTGGACTTATGACGGATGCACGAACGAACATTCAGACAGGCAAGGGCAAGTACTCAACAGTAGTACCTGGAGTGTTTGCGGCTGGTGATTGTCGACGTGGGCAGAGTTTGATTGTATGGGGCATTAATGAGGGTAGACAGTGTGCTCGCGAAGTTGATCAATATTTAATGGGTGATACTAATTTGCCAGTTACTGGTGGCATCAAACAACGCTCTCTAGAGTCGTTGTCTCAAAAAATGCGTGTTGGTCTCGTTGTATCAAATTAAAAAAAAGGGGTTAATTTCTTGTTATCGCTATAGATTTTTACATAATTAGGTTATATAATGCGGTCTATTGTACAAATTATGGACTTTTTGTCTGAATTTAATATTTATTATGTAATTTTTATATAAATAGCTATAATCTTTTTTGTACAATTGCACGTCATAAAACAGTAAATATCAATAAAGTCACTGTATAAACAGAAAAAATACCGGAAAAATCTAAAAATGTAAACGCATATGGTATATGCCTATGATGTGAAAGCGGAAACCTTAAAGTGAAAGGACCTTTTTGCAAGGAAAAGCAGAACACAACCGAGACCTGCTGTTATGGGTCAATTTCTCAGTCCTTGCCTCTTTCTTTCCCCTCACACGTATAACGTGGCATTTCAACATCAAGCTGATTTCGAATCACGGATAAAATCGAGAAAAAAAATACAATAAACCATAAATTCAATAAACACGACAAGGGATTGATACTTTCAGATGAACGGCCTCTATCATTCTGTATAAGTTAATAATAGGAAATGAATAACCATGGTCCACGAAACTCACTGCTTGCACAAGATTAATCTTGCACAAAAAATATTGATCTTTTTCAAAGATACAAGCGATACACGCTCAAGAATTAGTGTTTTTGTCTTCTTTCCTAACTTGTTAATCAGTAACACGTTACAAAAACGATAATATGTTTATATTAATTAAGAAAATGAGCGGATTTGAAACGTTATTGCGTGATTGACTAAATGATAAAATAACATGTGTGGATGAGTCGCAAAAGATATTTAATATCATTAAAATTTTTTGTTACTTCTAGCATTGTCCCTCTACCATCGAAATTTGGACATCAAGAAAACCTTGCATGATATCCGTCCTAGATCAACGCACCAACATACAAGAACAATAAATAACAGATGATACAACTTCTATGACTGTAGTTGTGTCCAATCTCTGTAACGATTCAACATAATGGTGACATGTGAATCATTCGTCTTTCTTTGTATTAGACGTTCTTCCGTATTCCTTTTCAACATACTCCAATCCCCTTTTAACTAGCACGCTGCCTTCTTCATAGACGACACACCAAAATGCATGTATGCAAAATATCAAATATCCAATAGAATATACTGTCCACTCAAATATAATCCACAATATTTTTGCAGCTGCCCATGCTTTCGTCAATTCGACTCGTTTTCCTCTAACATAGGTTGCATCGGCTATTGCAAAAGGCGGCACAGCTCCTAGCGTCACTGCAGCTCTTAACCCAGACGTAAATCCATCCTCATGAAATCCGTACTTTGTCCATGCGCCACAATATGATGTATGTAGACCAGGAAGGTTTTGAATTTCATGCAGTTCAGACTGAGCTGCGACTGCTGCTGGAGTGAATAATGGATGGTCATAATCCCAAGAGCCAAACGTCTTTGCCGGAGATGGTTCGTAGATTGGATTAAGAGAGACTAGGACTGGTCCATGTGTCTCTTCTGGGATTGATTGCAAAATATTCATAGAGTATGTTCTAGACAAAGGTCAAGCTCCATTAGTGTGATTTCCCGAAAAAAATTGTACCTAATGCAATAAAGATTACGAAAATACTTACAATGATACTTGACTTATGTTACGCGCATTCTCGCCTGATTTCGTAATGTAATTCCATGAAGAAAATGCAGGTCGACGGGTTGGCATTAACTGAACGAAATCATGTTTTAACACCAAAGTCGGATAACGCATTCAACCGTTCAACCATTCGCAGTTCAATTGTTACCTCTAAATCCGAATGTAAAACAGCTTTGTTCTTGGTGAATTGAAATGTTCCAAGTATTCTCTTCTCATTTTCCGTGGCTTCACTTCCCAGAATTTCCAATGCCTGATCAGCATGCGTGGCCAATATCACATGGTCATATGTTTCTCCAACGTTATTGTCGTCGTTGACGGTTATTTGCACTCCATCTGACGTAGACGTACGCGTTATGCTAGTTACTTTCGTATTTAATCGAATTGAATCTATTTTGGGAGTTATTGCACCAATGTACGTTCGGCTGAGTGATAAATGGAATATACAAATATCAGACAACTTTGTAAATACGTTATCGAAAACGTTTACAGAATTGCAAGTGTTCGACTTCAAATGATGTTATTCTCTCATCATATAGTAAAGATGCTCTATCTACCTTCCATTTTTAACAGTAAGCCATTGAACGCGGTCCACAATTTGTAACAGACTGTGATTGTGCATGAATTGGATTAGAGTAAGAATGGGGAAATCCAGCGAACATTTATCGAGTGGGGTAGACCAAATGGCTGCTGTCATCGGCTGCCATGAAAACGGATCGTAAAGTTGGTTAATAAATTGATGGTTTACACAAATCTCTGTACCAACACAAAACCTTTGTGCGCATACTGGGGGGTTCCCTCGTAAACTTACCAGAAGGTAATTATCCCTAAACGCCTGAGAATATCCATGCCTATCCAACCATTCACCCATATTCATCCTCCTCTCTTCATTATCTTCGGATGTATTTATCAAGTCTGTAGCTCTCCAGTTAAATCTACAGATGTCAAAAATCGTTCTCCACATATCCAAATTCAACAGATTTTCCCATTGGCAAAACACGGTTAATAAATTCTGCCCTGCCCACTCAAAGTCGCCTTTATTTCTTGACACAGAAAACGACATATTCGAAGGCATATATTCAATTTCTTTGTGCTTGAAAAATCGAAGTAAATTAGGATATGTGGGGGGATTGAATACTATGAAACCAGTGTCCACTGGGATGGAAGTCTTAGAATTAGGTGGAGTATAGTCGACAGTGTGTGTATGTCCACCAATGTAGGAGCCAGATTCGTAGAGAGTTACATGATGTGGAGAGTGTTCAGATAATAACCACGCAGCACCCAGGCCAGAGACTCCTGAGCCGATAATAGCAACTTTCTTGGGTGTGGTCATTATGATATTTTGGATATTTTCACAGTACTAGAGAATTCTTCCCCTAAATACTCCGAATGTTGTTCATTTGACTAATCCAAATCTCAAAGATTGGTGAGACCGTTTAAGGGGTTCAGCTGGGTGCAGCACCAAATTTGGAGGTTGACGCTCAAGAACCAATCGAACGTTAATAAGCCATTGGGGCGAGACAGCGGACGAAAACGAAATATGAGACATCAGTTCGTCAACGAAGTAGTAGTTTACAAGTGACGCAAATTTGTATCCCATATGGCGTCATCGTTGTAATCCTTCCTTATCCATGAGCGCGACTGCACAAACAATTTATTGAGCAGGGGTGATAGTTTTGTTATATCAAGTACTTTTCGTAGCCTTCATATATATCTCTAGTTTTTGTCTATCTGCATTCATAGATCGACCATACCACGTATTGTAATTTTTGCGATATTCTTTTTTTTTTTCATTACCCAGCTGTCAGAAGAGATTGTGCTATTCAGCCACGAAAGCAATAAATTATTATCGATTAGTCTACACATTATATGTTTATATCAACAGGGGGATCAATCTAAAAAAATTTTTTTATTCAATTGCAAATTGCGTATTCTATATTAATAAAACAGACGCGAAAAATAGAATCATGGGATTTATGGTGATACCAATTTTTTAATATCAGCCAGTAAAAATTAGTTACATATTATTTTACGATGCGAGTTCGGGTGCTTAAATTGCCAATTTATGCTTCAAAATTACTATTTTGTTGTCATTCTGAGAATTCGAGAAGAATGAGTTTTTAATTGTAACATTTTATATTTTGAACAATGTGTCAAGCAGCATAAACTTATTTTTGAGACGTTAAGATTATCCTTACAAGCTTGTATGATAATGTGTGAGCATATATATTTTTGGGACTTGCGCGAATTTATTTTTATTACAAAGATCTTACAATTGCAATTAGAACCAGTGCTTATTGTAAAACTAAAGGGAAGATTACTGTGTGTGTTCCTACTATGCAATCAAATAAATGATAACTAATTTTTTAACCAGAATTCTATCTATTTTATTGTATTCACATGGGAAAAAACATGATTGTAATTGTAGAGAAATACGGTAGGAAAAGCACTTACAGTGACTCACAAACCAGTCAATGAATTCATTTACTCCCCATGATGGACCAGTATGCGAATTTTTGGTTGCAAATTTCAACCAATTACAATGTTAAACTAAAAATAGTCTTACTTTCTGGCTTTCAATACATTTTGTGTTTTATTGAAAAAGGCTTAAAACTTTCCGAGTTATAAATAATCAGTGTATTATGGTACACAAAGAATATTCGGTGGCACATGCAACGTAATACTAGCAGTGCTGCGATAGTGCAGCAGAACAATAGTAATAGAGAATATATAAGTGCTGCAATAGTGCTGCATACTGATACAATATAGTAAAACAATCAATAAGAGGCGTTGCTAAAAATATGTTAATTAGTTTTTCCGAAGTAGCGTAGATTTCGGCTATTCATGCAAGTGTTCGCAGTGTTCGCAAGCGTTCATAGTGATAGACCCCTTTATTGTAAATAAAAATGAATAAATATTTAGACTAGAATCCTCACTATCATTTCAATGTCAAGTTCTTTGTCTAATTTTTCAACAAAGATTGCTAGCTTTTCCCGCTTCTAATTTTTAAAGCTTAAATAAAAAAAATGTCAAAATAATTATATTAATATTCCTCATACACGCAACTCGCTAATAATGTAGCAATCAGCCCCCCAGAAATCAACAAAGTATATACAGCAAATATTTGAAATTCACATTTACTTTGCTTCAATAAAGGTTGTGGAATCAACAATGAGATTTCAAGAGAATCAAGTACACCTATGAAGCAAGATAATACTTACAGACTTACTTTGCTTTATAGGCAAAGCAGGGATGGTAATACAGTTGAAAATTTTAGAGAATTGTGCAATAACAAAGAGCCCACAATTGCTGTTGGGGAAGTATTCGATACTGAAGAAATACTTGGTAGATATTATCCAATTGCATGGAGCGTCAAAACATTTATATTCGCA